CCCCTTTACTGAAATGTCAAACCAGGCAATATTTTCACCATTTGTTTCCATATAGCTCAGTACAGATATTTGAAATATTGCCTGTATTCACTCTGCTATCCCTCTCCACAGGGATTTCTTTCATAAGAAGCATTTGCTATGAGTGTTGAGTGTGGATAATTTTTCTGAAATTTAGTTCAGGGTAGAACGAATAACAGTGAAACCTGCAACAGACTTGCACAGGTATACAGAAAGTGAGGGCACATATGTGTATGTTTCATGCTATGTTCATAAGTGTTACACTATGAAAACCTGTGTTTTTTCAATTCAATCACTATTGTATCGTTCCCCCCACCAAATTTGCAGGAACTGAATACAGATGGAAACTCTTACTTAAAAAAGAGTCTGCTTACTAGGAGAAAAAAATCCATAAAATGCTTAGTGTTTCAATCCTGAATACATATGATATTGGTTTAATTTGAGGAGCAAATGCACAGCAGTTATTTCCTATCCCTTATGTCATTACTTCTGATGTGTATTTATAAAATGCAAAAAGTTCTATATAGTAAAGCAAATATATGAACTGCATTAAACACCATGCTATAGCTCATGCTATAATAATTATAATAATATCAATAGAAACAAAATAGGATAGGTTCCTACCTTTTATTCTGCTTTTGAGAAAGTGATGTCCACCCCACCAAAATGAAAAACGAGTTATTAGAGTCCTTTTTTTGTGTCTGTTTTCTCCGCTTATTTTTTAAGACTAATCCTACTTGGATCCAACTCAGGCTTTTTCTCCCAGCATCACTTAACTCTGGACAGTCGGGAACCAAAGCTAAGGGGGAGCTCTCCCTCCGACTGCCTTACATTCAAAGCTCCTGATTAGAGGAAGAAAAAAAAAAAAAAAAGGTACACAACCACACACACACACGCAGTGTGCCCAGATACACACACACAGAGACACAGACACACACACACACACTCACTCTCCCTCGGAGGAGGGGAGCGGGAGAGAGGCACTGCTGACAGAGCCGCAGCACTTACCCTGGGAAGGTTGGAGATCGGGGAAGTGCAGGCTTTTCCGAGCACACAGTGATTTGCAAGTGAATGCGGTGGGAGGGTACAGCAAACGGAAAGCTTTTTTTGTTAAAGCCTGTCGCCCTCCCTTCGCTGCCAGAATGGTTCTCTGGTTTTGAAGCCTAAGCCTCATCTGCTTAGCTTGTCGTAATAATGAATGCTGAAAACACGTCCGCTTTTTGTGGTGTGTATTTCTTGATTAAATATAACCACTTTACGGTATCACCAGTGATCTTACAACAATGTTTATTAAATATATATATGTACATATTTTTAAAAATAGTATGCTGGTAAGTTAAATGAAAACCTTGGAGGGCTCAGATGAAACCAGAGAGTAATTTTGTTTATTAAACTGCTTTTCCTATTAGATTAGAAACATTTTTTGATTCTGAGATTTTTCCTCATACTTCACTATTTTGCATTATGATTAATACAAAACAAGGTAGGTTCATATGAAATTAGGTATTTTCACATTTCCAGAGGTTATAAAAAAAATCAGCATCACTAATTCCCCATATTTTCCCCTTTTTATACATGAGATACCTGTTTTTATTTCAGTCACTGTATTTGGACTCCACATTTTGCAATGTGTTTCTTTTCATCGAGTTAATCTGAGTTGGTTTCATGTTTCTAATACAGCAAATTGGACTTAGCACAATCCTCCTTGGATCATATCAAGTTCAATCCTTTCATTGTGATACTGTAGAGGGTTATGTGTACATTAGTTAGAAGAGATTTAACAAATAGTCACATAAGATTAAACCAATGGATGTCAGTATTGCTCTATCTAAGAAGTGTCATAAGGGACCTTCTCTGGTTGTAGAAAAGTCTTCCAAAAAAAGAAAAAAAACCAGCCAAATTCTCTTAAAATGCAAGCTGAAAAATGTGTTTGGGAGTGAGGAAGAAAGTAACAATGAAATCTATTTCATTGTTAGAAAATCTAATACAGAAATAGATCACTGGCTGCTGTTCGGCTGCTGAGTGTTACTTATTCTGCTTGTTCTCAGCTTCTGTCAGGAGAAAAGACAACAAAAAAGAAAGGCAAGATCCTTATCACGACTAGTATCACTTCCTAATGTAACCACCTGCCGTTGCTTTCCCTTATTTGTAATAATTAGGAGGAACAGAAATGACCCATCACCTAAGCACAACCTTTTGGCAGATGAGCAAGTCAGCATTTAAGTAACATGCTATACTAGCACGACATCATCTGGAGAAAGAAACACATAAAGCAGCAAAATCCCAAGGGGAGGAGCAGGAGGAGTATCTTTTTACTGCCATATATGAAATTATTTGGTTTTGGAAAAATTATCTACTGTGACGGCTTTTTAATCTTTCAAGGAAAGCAATTAAATTCATTGGCTTTCACTGTACTTGGGCACATAAATACAGAGTGTCATGTGTAAAACTTCTGTAAAAAAAAAAATTCTTTCCTTCTCCCTTTCTCATTGTTGTATCAATATAAAAATCAGAAGTGTCATGTGTCTGTCTGCTCCTGATTTCCAAAGACTTTCATTCTCAGTCCTTTCAGTGGAAAGGAGAAGGCTGCAGAATCTAACTCTCAAGCTTCCTAGTCTCTGCCACAATTTGATATTACACTATGTAAAGACACATTCACAGTTCTCAGTAATCCATTTGGAACTGACAATATTGAGACATCTGTGCTCTCTTCCAAGTTTACCCATTTATTTGTGCAAAACTGGAAAAGTAAGATTTTTTTTTTATTTTGAGCAAATCCTCTCACACTGATCTGAAGGTAAAGTTCATGGTACTTTCTTTTCTGAAAATACCAGCTGTGCTACTGTCTCCTAAAACATTAGATCTAGGCTTTGATCCCACCGTAGAAAGCTGAGGATTTTCTTAGAATGAAAGGTTCATTTTCAATTTGGTAATACCAACAAATTAAATTATGATGAAGGGAGACACAAATATTTGGAAATATGTGGAAATGTGAAATATGGCTTGGAAATAGCTTTTTAAAGCTGGAGTGCTTTTTGGACACTGAACAGAATATTAAGTATTAAATATCAAGTTAAAAAGTTCAGTTCCTTTTAACATTTTCTCTTCTGTCATTTAAGTTGCAACCAGGAAGTAGGTAATAAATGACAATTGTTGTATATACACAAAAGTCTATTCTACACAAGCACACACACACACACACAGAGGGAGAGGGAGACAGAACTATTCCACATTCTGAAGTCAAAGAAAATAAATGATTTAGTGGAATTATGCTGGAACAAGAAGGTCAGAAACCATGAATGTGTGCTTGCTCACTTTTCTGCAAAGTATTTTGGTGTATTTCTTTTAGGGTTTTATTCAGCTAGAGTGAACCTATTTTATCTTAGAGGTATATTAATTTATTCTGGCATAGTTACTGCAAGTCACATTTGTACCCTTAAACTGGACTGACTTTGGTTTAACTCTAGAAAAGCCATATTTTTTCATGAACTCCTGTTTCTCTTGGTATGGTCAATTGGTTAAAATCTAGTATCTATGTATGCTGATAGCATACAGACATCTAAGGCAAAACAGTTATTCAACCATATACTTATTCATACACATGACAGTAACTTTAAAACAAGGTGGCATCATAACCTATTTTTAACACTGCCTAATAATTCCCATTAGAAAAGTCCTTTTAGAGCTGCTTATAAATTTACCAAACAAATTATTTAGGATTAAATTTTCTACACTGATGGTCTGCCTTGGGCAGAAATCATTTAAAAACATTTCAACCAAAATGATACTGAAATTTCAAAGAATCAGGAAAAATTATAGACCTGAAATTTTCTCACAGGAATAAAACAACATTCATGCTTTGAAGGCAGAATGTGAAACTCCGCAGGGTACAGTTGGCCTTTGAGTCAGAGAGGCTTACCAATGGGGACAGATTAGGTCAAGGAGCATTAAAATAAAGAAAGTGGTAGGAGCAGAAGGAGTGGAGGGTGGAGGATGCATTCTTCTTGACCAGTAAAGAAAAAAAAAAAAAAAAGCAACAACATATATCTGATAAAGAAACAAGAAGGAAAAAAAAAACAGTGGCAGAACAGGGAGAAGGAGATAAATTCAATGAGACTGAACAAGGAAACCTGCAGTGGGGAGGGAGGGAAGAGTAAAAAAAGAAGTACACCGGATAAAATTACAGAAAGAGAGATAACGACCTTACCAGGGACTCTAAAGTTGCTTTTTGTTATCTTGGTCTTCAAGGTAGGCAGTTTTATCCTCTGAAGTGGTATATCCAGTGTAATATCTACTCAGACTGCAGTGGAGATGCTTTTCTTGCTTTTCATTTCTGTTTACAATATTGGCAGAGATCCCATAAGCCAACAGTTGCATTTTTAGGAAGATGAAAAGGTATATGAAAGATGAGAAAGAAAATATCTGGAATTAGACCCAGCATTTTCCTAAGCATTGCTATTGGCAAATCTTTGTCAAACCTACTGAATTTCTCTCCTCTCGGTGTTGATTCGCATGGAGTATGAGAGCACATTAGTAGCCTCATAAGCTCATGAAACAGTGATCAATGTGGTGCTTGTAAAGACCTCAAACCTAGCAATGACTTGTATATAACCTGATGATGCTATTTCTCCTTAGTTTTATTCTATGTTTGATATATTTTTAACCTCTGTAAAACTGTACATAAAAACCTAAGAATAAAATTAACAAAGACCAGACTTGTTTGCTGATGGAAAATAAAATTATTTTTATGAAAAGAAGCCAATTTATTATATACATCTCCTAATTATTTTACATCTCCCTTCATAAACTTCAAAAGCACCCACCCTTAATGTACCAGATGAACTGGTCTATGACTAAGTCACAGCACGGAAACTGTTGTCTAGAAAATATTGCCTTTTGTAGTGTGGAAGCCAGAAAAATTGCAATAACTACACTGAATAATGACATTGAAGCAGAATTTTTATTAAAGAAAATATGTGCCTTTAATACAATAATATACCAAAATATCATTATTCTTATACACCTCATGTTAGCTACAGGATAAGCAAATAATTTTAACATTTCCCTAAGTTCTGCTTATTTGAATCTGAAGTCTCAGTAGTGTTACAGTAGATTGCGTGCACATCAGCATACGAAATATTTACTACTTATTCTTGAAATGACCATGAATGTACTAGGTACTTAGGTATAAAATTTAGTTGGAGGTCATTAGTTAGTGGTATATCTCAGGGATCAATATTGGGTACAATACTGCTGAACATTTTCATTAATGGTCTGGATGATGGGGCACAGTGTACCCTTAGCCAGTCTGCTGCTGACACCAAACTGGGAGGAGTGCCTGATAAGCCAGACAGTCATGCTGCCATCCAGAGGGACCTCAACAGTCTGGAGAAATGGCTGATAGGAACCTCATGAAGCTCAACAAGATGAAGTACAAAGTCCTGCATCTGAGGAGGAACAGCCCCAGGCACCAGTATATGCTGAGGGCTGACCAGCTGGAAAGCAGCTTGGCAGAAAAGGACCTGGGGGTTCTGCAGGACACCAGGCTGAACACCAGCCAGCAATGCACCCTTTCTGCAAAGCAGACTAATGCCTGCATTAGACAAATACTCACAGCAGGTCAAGGCAGGAGATCCTTCCTCTCTGCTCAACACTGATAAGGCCACACCTGGAGTCCTGTGTCCAATTCTCCAGTACAAAAGAGACATGGACATACTGGAGAGAGTCCAGCAAAGAATGATGTAGGGACTGGAGTACCTCACATGTGAGGAAAGGCTGAGAGAGCTGCAATTCCTCACACTAGAGGAGAGAAGGTGCAGCTGGATCTTGTGAATGCACACAAAATACCTGAAGGGAGGGTGCAAAGAGGACAGAGCCAGGCTCTTTCCTGAATTGCTCAGTAACAGACTCAGAGATAATGCATACAAACGAAAATGCAAGAGGCTCTCTGAACATCAGGAAACCCTTTTGTTTTGTGAGAGTGACTGAGCACTGGCACAGGTTATGCAGAGGGTTGTGGAGTCTTCATCCTTGAAGATACTCAAAGCTGTCTAAACACAGTCCTGGGAAACTGAGTCTAGATGATCTTTCTTGAGCTGGATTGGACAAGATGACTTCCGGAGGTCTCTTACAACCACAACCATTCAGTGATTCTGTGAGAACACATAGACAAAAATATAGGAAAAGAATTACATTAAATAGTAGATAGAGATTGATGGTAGAAAGAGAGCAGAGTTTCCCATGTCAAACAGTCTAAGTAAGGTGGAGGAACAAATAGTACTAGAAACAAGAGGCTGCTCACAAAGAAAGGAGGAGTGAAATAGTTCACAGTACATGCATTAAGAAAAAAAAAAATCCAACAGAACAGTACACAGTCCAAAATGTTACTCTTCTAAAAGTAACATCACCTCTCCATTCAGTTCAGTAGTGTTCACACCAGCTCCTGCTCCGAAAATAGCACCATTCCCTTTAATTCTCCGTATAGTCTTAGCAATGTCTTGCAATGCCCCAACTTCTGTTATAAATCCTCTTTGATCTATTGTGATAGGAAAAAAAAAAAAACAGGAAAATTGTTTAACTTCTTTGAGTTTCTGACATCTCATTTTGACCAAAACATTTTTTTTTTTTGCAGTTATTGAAAGCCATAATTAAGTAGCTACCTTTAAAGGATCAAATAGCCATTCTTTCATTCATTTCAGTTATTCCATAGTGCACACATCCTGGTATCTGCTAAAACTCTCCTGTTTTTTTTCTAAATCATCTGCCCTCCTACTCCTTTATCTGAGAGTGCATATTTTCTGTTGATACAAGTGAATTTTAGTACAATAAACTAAAAAAAATTGTAGTTACCTAGAAAACCTCCATAAACATGGGTTTATGATCCATTTATAAAGAGAACATAATTCATACAGAAGACTACACACTTCTTAGTGTGTTTTTCTAAGAAAAAGATTAAATTACTAAGAAGGATGTCAATAAAATACATATCTTGTATAAAAAAACTTGTCTGTGGTTTACTTAATGATTATGGAAAAAAATTTATAACAACCATAGAGACAAATCTTTATGGATTATTGGTAGAAGTCTTCAAATCGTCCATCACTTCTCTAGAATTTAGAACAGACAGAGTACTTTTATGAAATAATGCTGTATTAATACAAGCAAGCAGAAATCTTTTGATAGAACAGATATCCTCTGATTTAGACCAAAATTATTTCTGTATAATACTATGAAAATAAATGTTACAAAATATATCTTTACTTGTCTTCACTAAAATTATTCTGTAGATTTCCCCTTTTCAAGTCAACTGGTTGTTTGTAATTTTTTCTGTTAGTACTGATTTGTGCATTCTTAAGGCTAACTTGCAAATATAAGACGTTACATGGTGTAAACACAACACTGCAATGCAAGATGTCCTTAATAATAGTTATATGAAGGTTACTAGATCCCTCTTTTCCTTGATCTTTCCATTTCTTAGTTTCCATTCAGTGGCAACTGCACCAGAAATATTACAAATAATTCAAAAAACTTGTTGTTTGATTCCTATCTAGCATTAATATGTCTTTCTGTATTCATAAGTAGATGATATTTTTCTACTTTGGGCTTATTCAGATGTTTGCCTTAGTTGCATGGTTTTGATTTTACTATCATATACCAATGTTTTATACACCTGTCTGTCTCTTCAGGTTTATAAGAAGGTTTAGAGTCATTCCATTACACTTAAATAAGAATGTGATGTATATGCAATGGCAAATAAATGAACAAATACACAAGAAATCCTTCCTCCCTTGATAACATATCTGGAAGAACACAGATTACATGTATCAATTTTGCATTTGGCAAGTGTAATGGTGGTATGTTTAGAACAGCTAAACCGCTAAACAGCTTTAGATCAATTGCTTACACTTGAAAGAAGCTATATTTTCACAGAGAACAAAATCAAATTAAGCATACATTTTCAGTCTAAATAATAGGAGGAATTACATTCATAGATAAAAACAAACAGTAAAGTATAACCCTGTTCAGAAAAAAAGACAAAAATACAAAGAAATGCTCCATTTCAATATGTGTATAACGTTGTAGCTTCATTACATTTGAATTCAGAGACTTAGGGATATTTTAAGCTCCTTATTCATTGAACTGTTCATATACAATTAGCAGGATCCACTTTGACTTTTTTCAGCTTTAACAGATTATGAAAAGTGCTACTCTAGTGCTATCCTCTACTTTACCAAAAGATACACCTTCACGTTAGGCTAGCATACAAGAAGTGAAATAAAGAAAGGATCTGTTCTTATGCTCTCCCTGATATGAGTCAAGCTTCCAATGTACAAAGTAGTACACCTGAGAATTTTTCTTTTTTTTTCCAGAGAACCTGTCTCCAAGAGAATGACAAATAGAGGGCACAAGTTAGACAAAGAAAAAAATACAACAAAACCAATCCTCCCAGCCCCAAATCTTTCCTAACAGGTCTTAAATGATTTGCAGTTACCAAGTCCAGCTGCAACTAGCAGGTCTGGAAGTCCCATTAGTAGTCTTTCCTCATTCTTCTAAGTTTTCACCTACAGATTCTCCCAACAGGAATCAACCATGTGCTTGTACTCCACCTTTACTTTGAAACATCTCCTTAGTAGAGCTTATACTAGGGACTGGATGAGAGTTCATGTTCTGACTGACAATACAAAAGTATGTAACAGCAGAGGCATTTTTTTTTTTCTTTTTTTGCTAGAACTGGTTCAGATAGCTGTTCTTTTACAGATTCTATTTACAAGAGCATGTAGTGACAGGACAAGGGGGAATGGCTTCAAATTGGAAGAGAGTAGGTTTAGATTAGATATTAGGAAAAAAATCTTAACTGCGAGGATGGAGAAGCACTGGAATAGGTTGTCCAAATAGGCTGTGGATGCCCTCTCCTTGGAAGTGTACAGGGCCACATTGGATGGAGCTCTTTGCAACCTGGTCCAGTGGAAGGTGCCCCTGGCCAAGGCGGGGGGCTTGGAACTAGATGATTTTTAAGGGCCCTTCCTAAGCCGAACCACTCTATGATTTTATGATTCTTGATTTGCAAGGCTAAGCATTTTCAGTCTCTTCTTTGATATCTATAGTTACGCAAGGATAAACTTAATGGTTAGAGGGAAGGAAGTTGTCTAACAACAGAAAAGTGATGTGGCATTAAATGTTTTACATCCTACTAGAAATAACAGTAATGCTAAGTCCCCTGTTGAAGATCAACCTGGGCTCTTCCAAATAATTAAAAAAAATATTTCTATCTATTATAGACAATCTGGACAATAATCTAGTTTACTTTTGAGAATAGGTAGAGGGGGACTTCACTGTATAATTTCTTAGTACCAAAACTCAAAGAGAAAACCAGATGTTTCAGTTCAGACGCTTAAAATACATGCATTTAAACACTACAGAAGTGATAATAGAGAACCTAGGGTCTTTACCAAAAAGCAAATCAGATAAACAACATGCAAATCAAATACTCCCAGTTTCTGGTTATAGCTATTTCATGCAAGTCTAGTATCATACGTAGTCCAATATCCAAATGTAAAAACTGAGAGATTGGTAGTAAATTGACATACTTAGCTTCTCTTCCTGATGAATTATAGATAGCTAAAAGTAGAAATAGATAAAAATATATCCTTAACTAGAATATTGGTATGAACAGCAAATGATTCTCTCTTAATGACAGGAAGTAAAGATCGAATCCTTTCAATTATTACTGTCGTTATTGAAGGTTCAATTTTATATTTCAGACTCACATATTGTATGTGATCAATGGTATTAGCATGAATTTCGGAACTGCCAGGATCAGAACTGCCAGGATTAAAGCCAAAAAAGTTTGGCAAAAATTCAAGCACCAGCAATTTGCAAATGAATCAAATACAAATCAAATTGGGACCTTGTAGAACAGATTCTTTTAAAAAATCATTTTACTCAAGTACCTGAAAATGGCAAACACATATCTTAGGGCACAATATGAGTGTAGTAATTGTATAGGTATAGTATTATTGACAGTATCAGAATTCTTCTAGACCTCACAAGATCTGACGCAGTGATTAACAAAAGGGTTAAATGGTTGCTGCATATTGGAACTGATTTTAATTTCTTCATTGTGAAATCTTATTCTGAGAAATGTGATATTCAGAATGTGGAGGCAGTCAAGATGCTCAGTAAGCTACGTTTTCAATGGAATGTATAATTATTACTAGAAATTTTTATATCTGCTTAAAACATACATCTAGGAGGTAGCAAGTATGAGTAACAATTGATTTATGTTTTAATTATAAGTATGTCAAGACCAAACCAGTTAATATTTCATAGAAATGTGTTCCTCTTCTACTAGAAGACAAATACAGGTTTTATACATTTGAATTCATTAAACTCCAATATTCTGTCATATTGAAAAGTATTTCTTGGTCTGGTATTTTAGCTACCCCTCATTAGAAATTATGGAGCAGATCTTCCACCTACATCCCACCAAATGTTCCCACTGTGACCTATTCTGTCTTAATAAAATGCATTTTCCACCTAGGATAATATCTTCAGTGTTTACTGACTTCATCATCAGAAGCTTTTGAGTTGCCTATATTTTGACAGAGACCTGAAGAGGCTAGTACACAATGGTGTGAGACTCCAAATGTAATCAGACAGTCTGAAAAGAAACAAGACAGACAATGGGTGAAAAAGAAATCATGTAAAATTGGTTCACAATTTCAACTGGGATTGAAATAAAAAATTTCTGCTACCTAGGCTGATGCAATTTGGCAATACAGTGGCTTCATCCTTATCTAAAAGGCTTCAGTGTCTTCTTCCTTTCTGCTTGGACTGTCATGTGATCTGACTTTTTCACATGTATTGATGAATTTCTCCTCAGAAGGACATCCTTAAGGCCATTACTGTCCCTGCTAGCTTTCAAGAAACTGAAACATCAAGAGATGTTAAGTGTTCTGCCCCTGCCACTTAGGATAGACATGGTAGAATGAGGAAGAGTCTTATTGGTCCCATCAGACTGACAGAACTGTCCTCTACAAATGCCTGTCTTTGTTTTCCTGTGCACTAATAAGATAAATAATCCTAGAAAAGTTGTACTTGCAATAGAGACTTATTTAAAATGTTTCTAACCTAAGATTTGAAGATAATATGATCAGAATAAATAGAAATAAATGAAAGCATCAATAAAAATAAGTATAAGGGCAGAAAACTTGGGAATGTGGTGAACACTGTAAAGAGAAGAGTAATATATAGTTTAACTAACATATTTTAGACTAGATGTAAAAGAAAACAAAAGGTGAGGAAAAATTAAAGTGTCACTGTAAAACAAGTAAAATTATAACTTGTATAGATGCATGTCAAAAGACATGTAACAAAAAGCAGAAGGAAGTTTTAGTATTTTTGCAGTAAAAGAACAAGGCACCAAAACAAATAAAGTTAGCACCTGAGTTCCCAATCACAAAGTTGAATCTCTTCTCTGGACACTTTATGTTGAATTAAAGGGGAAAAAGCCCAACAACAGGCTCCCATAAAATAGAACCAACCAAACAAAAAGAAACCTAGCAGACAATTCTCTGAAACTCTGCCTCTGTGCTAAAACAATGTAGCTGGTGCACAACCTTGCACACTGCACCTTTTTTTTTTTTTTTACCCCCATGTATTAGTGTGTCTTAAACTTTCTCAATTTTGCTGCAGGAATAGCAATATCTTTCTCCGAGGAAGGGCTCAAACTACAAGGTCAGTTTACTCATAGTAATCTGCAAAACTATCATCAATATCTGCGAGCAGATCTGTTTGTTTTCTAACCTCTGTATTCACGTTTTAAATTTTTGGGTGTTTTTTTTTTAAAATTTAGTGAAATCATCGTTTCCTCTATTCTAAATCCAATACCAGAGACAGATCACTCAGGAGAGTTGTAGGGATTTAGGTTTTAAATAGTACCCCAGATTCATGCTTTTAATATTTCAGTGGGATGCAAAAAAGACACAGAACTGCAGGCTGCAGAAGAATTACTGTCCTCACCTGACAGGAAAGGCTTCAGAGTGCAGGTAAGTGCTCTACTCTAACCCCAGGGGCAAATCACCTGAAATCAACAAATGTTCCTGTACATGTTTGGATGGCACAGTTCCTCCTCCTGGAACCTTGAAATCTGATCATTCTGTATGGCGAAAAGAATACCACTGAAGCGTCACTGAAAGAAATGCTCATTTTCAAGTCCATCTGTCCTTTACTAATTCCAGCTGAAAGATCAGCACTTACATTGTGTGCAGAGCTATTGTCATTTAACTCTGAAAAAGACATGTTAATTGTCAAAATACAAGTCTTAGTCAAATAAAAACTTACTTAATTGCAACTCCAAATCATGTGATAGCTACAGGTAAGTCTCCTTTTAGAAATTAATGTTTCGAGAGTAGGGAAATATATACATAACTGAGGAAATGCCTATGCAGGTACCTTATACTAAAATTAAGCCTGTACTTTCAATATAGGAAGTCTTCACCGTTTAATGTCCAGTTAGTGGTTTAAATAAAATCACTTTATTGCTTGGACAACTTCCCAACAAATAAGTACCCACATCATAAATATGTACACATAAAATCAGTACTCATTAGAGTAGCAACCTTGTCAGCAGACTCAACAGAAAAGGAAAGAACTGCTTAGGTGACAGTATAACCTCTGACGCCAAAATAAAAATGAATGAACAAACATTAGCATAGAAAGCCACCTAGGAAGTCACAAGTTTAAAATCAATCAGTCAGTTACATTTGATTGTCCCAAAATCAAATGAAAGCTAATGCATGCAGTGTGTTGCTTCCTTGCTGGTTTTCATGGCTTAATCAAAATAAGACAAGCAAAATTTCTTGCAAATAGTATAAAAAAGCACAATAAAACCAATACTTTAAGGTCACCATATATTACTTTTGTGTTTAGCTTTAAGCTTCTTTATATAAAATTGCATACTTCCTGGCATTAACAAAAATAAACATGTTAGTTTTGTGGTTTTGTTAGATATTTTGATAGCAACAGATGTAAATTACTATTCATCACTAACTGCAACTCAGAAATTGTTAAATTGATATTATTCCAAATCTAGCTGTAAAACTTTTCTGAGGTTTATGCACATATTGTTACAACATTACTAGCAACTGTTTATCATATTTTGAAAAATATACTGATGCATATATTATACTGAGTAAAATTAAATAGATACCTTTCTAGGAACATATTCCTCTTTAACAAGATGCTTTATGCAAGAGTTAGGGAGTAACCTAAAAGTTGTAGGAAAAGAATTTACCTTCAAACTCTGACCCTTCATCATTTCAGCACAATATGACCTTTATTAACATAGTAACATAACAGTATCATAAACCTCTAAACAATGATTCACAATTCAGTCATTTAATACTTTCTCTATTTTGTTCAAAAATGTCACAACATAGCATAAAATGAATTTTTCATACAGTTTTCTAAAAGATTGTAATATTTTAGCCTCAGGAAAATAGCATTACAAAAAGAAAAAAACCACAAACCAAATTGAACAAAACAAAAACCCACCAAAACAAGCAAACAAACAAACAAACAAACAAAAATCAAGGAAGACCCAAAAGAGCCAAACCCCTTGGAAAACTTATCTTTAAACTGCATATGAGACAAGAAGCTTGGGTATATTATCTTGTCAGATCATTTATTGTGCTACATTCTGATCCTGAAAAAGCAAGTATCCAAGAGTTCCAACTTCCGGCATTTTTTAATTATGCTTCTGTGCAGTATAACATGAAGTTATAAGGTATAATGAAGGCCTACGGGAGACTATTAGCATAGTTTTTTTAGGACCTAGGAAATAATTTTTAATATTCATTTTGTCATAAATGCCATACGAGGAATTAGTAATTAAGAGATAGAGAAGAAAGAACACAACCCTGAAAAACAGAGTATCACAGTTTAACTTTTTTAATATAATATTACCCTTGATTAGTTTTTTATTTTAAGTACAAAACAAAACAAAAAAAAAAAAAAAAAAAAAAAGAAATTTCTTTGAAATGTCTCAGGTCTCTTAGGTCTCAGGGCAGTTAAATTGTATAGAAAATAAAATACGAAGTGCACTCAGAGAGAATACCATGACAGCCTTCTATGTTTCATTGTGAAGAAAAGAACACTCCTGAGTTTTTGAAAAATTGACGTAACATAAATGAGTCAAAAAATGTAAAATTTAATGTTAAACTGTGAAAGCTATAAGATGATGCATGGGATATAACTCACTATTAATGGGTACTTGTAAGAAGCTGATAACTGCAGAAAATCTCTTCTATAGGTATTATACAGTAGCTTAAAAGCTATAAAAGCTGTCTAGTCTAACTGCAACTACACATGGCAAGTTCTAGAGATAATAACCTCTATTCCATCTCCATCATAAATGCCTTTTGTGAGTTTTGGCCAATCACTTAGCTGTGTTCATCACTATGATGGAGAGATTAATTGTAGAATGAATATATTTCACCTTCAATTTACAAATTGCTCATGCAAAGCTTACAGTTTCCTTCCATTTCTTCTGTATAATTAATCATTTAATTCTCAGTTGACAGTTTTGTTTTCCACTGAAACTCAGGCAATGCTGGCTAATTTTTATTGAAAAATATATGATAATTTTTTTTTTTCTAATTTTGTAAATCTAGCTTTTAAACAATTGAAATTCTGTTACCGGCCAAAAAATATTGGCAGAAATCTAATGCGAAATAATGTCTTAGTTGACATTAAAGAATGTGACATAATTTCTGTAAGAACTACCAAATAATAACTGTATTTATTTAATTTTTATTTATTGGCTTTCCCAAGAACTGTAAGAAGTATCATACTAATGTTCATATCATGCTATTAGAAAGCAACTGGATGTTAACAATAACAGCTATAAAAAACAATTATTTACAATGACTATATGCTTTCTACAAAGGGTATTAAAACCACTATATTTTTATAAGAATATTTTGGGGTTTTTTCTTTATTTGGATCTGGAAGAACAAATCTAAGGTTTTCAGTAAATTTGACAAACTTGAAAGATGACCACTCCCACTGAAATGTCAAAGGAATTTCCCCAGAACCTAAGAATGCTTCCAGAACAATCTTTTACTCCACAGTGAGAAGCAAGACAGAGAGAAATGGAAATAGTGCCTGCAGAGAGTAGCAGTTAAATTTTCACTATGTCAAGAAATATTTAAATACAAAATACTGGCCAAAAGGGAAAAAAAAATCATCCCAAAACATTCTAGCCTACCTAGTTGAGGTAACTGCAAATGGATTAGACAAACCTTCTATGGATCACCAGAAAGGCAAAGGAACCCCAGAGTAAGACAGCTATTGTGTTCATTAAAGACATACTGCTTTTTTCAAAATGACGTTCTTTCTGGGTCAAGCTTACAGAAAGTCAGGTTATCTGGTGAACGCAATATGCTTTGTTGGTTTAACCTTCACATCATACAGGCAAAATACAATTATATTATTTTATAAAAGCATGCTATATTTACAAGTTATTTTGGATTTAAATCCTTATTTCTCACTTTAAATGCAGAAATAAGAAAGAGAAATTAATCTCATTAAAATAGCCAGAATATTGAAAGCGACACTCTTAGATTACAGTCATATTCTGAAGTTTCAGTCCTTTTAGAATATTTTTTTTGTTTCCAAGGTATAAATTAGAAATGTCCCTTCAGATTCTGACAAAATAACAACTGAGAATAATACTTTGTGTTTTATTACAAGACGACAGGTGTTGCTACAAACTTTGCCTTACAGTACTCTCTGTCATATGACAGATACTACTTTTAGGTCATGTACCCACTGACTTTCCTTCAGATATGCTGTGAACATACAGGTAAGTGAATAGCCATATCAAGATCGGCTTTGTTTCATTATTTAGATTTCTGTGCATCTTTAATGCAGAATACTTTTAAAAATAAAATCCTTTACTTTGAATGGAAGCATTCAGAAAAGAACTTGAATATACTATGATGGAAAGCAAACTTAAACAGTATGTCATTTGAACAGTAATCTAGGTACCATTAATTTCAAAATACTTTCATCTCAGACTTATTTGTAAACCCTGAAATTTGCATTTAGCTTTATTTTCAAGCTAAAGATCATCCTTTAACATTCTTTGTCTTTGAATAAGACAAGCTAATCCTTGAAAAAAGGCTATTTTGTTATCTACTTACCTTGAGTATGAGCAACTCTATTCCATTAATTAGTTAATTTCTGAAGAACCAAGATCCAGTTTCTGCGTCATAACTGTTGTTGGATTTCTATTTTCCTGTGGAAAAGAATAGAAAAGAGGGATAAAGAGGGAAACTGCATTACAATAGAAGTATTTGTTAAAAGATGGGAGAGTCAAATAAATTTAGGGAAAACCTTCATCTAAGTTATACACTGAATTTAAAAAAAAAAAAAAAAAAGCAGTTCTAATCTAACCAGCTTTACAGAAATTATTCAGTTTCTCTTGAGCAATGCATAAGCAAATCAATTAGTAACCAGGGAGTACAAGCTTAACTCTTGTATGTCATTCAAGACAACCGCATAGTGTTTCTAATTTTAGTTGCTGTTACTTTTACATGTGAATCAGAACTGAGAGAGATTCTACATGGCAAAAGAACTTTTGAACTTAAAAAATTATTTGGGTTAAACTGTTATAGTTGTGGCATTTTATTTAACCATAATTCTCTAATTATTGTTCCCAGAGCCCTAAGTTACTAGTCAGCCATATAGGATACATCTAGGTACATACAATAGGTTAGGTCTAGGTTACGTATGCCCTAAAGCCTTTTCTTCCATTTCAGAAAAAAGTCTGCTCATATGGCAGTGTGTTCTGCAGAAAACCAGTACAGACAATAAAGCTCTTATTTTGGGGTTAAGAGGATGTATAGTGTGGGTTTTCTTCTGTCAAGAATGGAAAATGTATGTAAGAGTGACCCTGAATTTTGTTAATGTTTAATAATTTTTTTTTCTTATCCTTCTCCTACAAGTTAATTGACAAAGTGGAGGATTAAAGAAATAGCAGCTCAAGATGATTATGCAGCAGCAACTAATTTCTAGTATAAAAAACTGAGCCAAATCAGGATGCAGTAAGGAACTGAAGTACACACTATACTGCATCTTCAGATGTTCTATCATCTTAAGATGTAAAGACTCACAGTTTTTAAACAACAAAAAATACACCTTCGATTAAAGTAAACCTTGTGAGTGAATCACAAGGTGGTCAAACAGTAAAATAGTATGTATAAGGTAAAATAATTTCCAAATCAACTACACTTTTTAATCAAAGAAAACACAGTTAGTTGCATATACAATGACCTTAAACTGCTCAGAGGGGATTTGTCAGCATTTTTGAAGGTATTTCTCTTCCCTTTTTTTGTCATTTAGATACAATTACTACAGGAATTAGAGATACAAAAAAGGTGATTAATACTAAACATTTTTATACTGTTAAAAAGCATTAGCCTATGCATCAAAACCAAAGGAAACAGTGAGAAACCAGTCATTGACAGCGGGAGTGTGTACCTCTGATTGTGTCACAAGATGTGCTGACCAAGACTTTTTCTTGGTGATAAGACATTTGTATCATTTCTCCTGAATGAGCATTTTCTGGTATCTAAGTAAGGGTGAGTGCACACTACATCTTTAGTACAATTTAGCTTGAAGAGTCAGCTAACAAGAAGGAACAAATGCACTGGAAATTAGCCTCCTGCAAGCTCATAAGTCTTCCAATAACTCAGAGAACTATTACAAAAATTCCACCTGCTTTTATTTATTTGATCCTCAAAAATATATTTTTTTATTTCTATTGTTTATGTCAGTTCAACATCTAGAAGGTCTCCAGTTTAGTGGCTCTCTGAAACCAAGTTCTACCACTAGTATATCATTGTTGGCCCATAAATACCTTATTTTATTTGAGTTCTGAGGTTAAGTTCCAAAGGAAATTAATGACCAAAATAATGAACTCTATTCTTTCCCTTGATGGACACACAATTCTGTTTACAGAGTTAAGCAAAGTTAATTAACAAGTTAAGAGGTCTTGAGTATTTATCTCAGTCTACTTTAGTAGAGTGAGCCATTAGTTACAAAAAGCTTTACTGCTATTACAACTGAGATGAAGTAGGGAAGTGGTATCTATATAATTTGTCAATTTGCTTCCATAATTTAAAGAAAACTTATTCCAGAAATAAATGCATCACTTTATCTGGGGAAAAAAAAAAATCTACCAAACACAATTGGCAGGAGACATTGTTATTATCCATTCAGTAATGAATGAAAAAAAAATCAGTTATTTGGTGGCCCAGGAGACATCTTCAAACTAATAATACTAGCATGCAAATTTATCATTCAAGTTGAATTTTTGGTAAATATATAATAGTAATACAGTAGTTAAATAAAAGCTAGAGAGATTAGGACAGTGGTACACATCACAAGCCATTATTTGTCACTAACCGTTACCTGGATTTGTCTGCATACTGTTAGGTTACCATCCAGACTGGATTGGTTGATTTTAAAGTTGCATTGATGATCATGTGTAATGAAAAATAATATTTGAACCTTGCTTACATTATTAAAAATTATCAAAAGGGATGCCTCTCCCCGAGGGAAAACTTGGTTTAATTAAGTTGAAGGCAAAATCTTTGAATGCGACATAATTTATCAAAAGTCATCAAGTCCCTATCTGTGGAAGTAGAAATCTCTTCACTAGGAGAGCAAGTATTTTTTCACTGTGTTATACTGATCTTCACCTGAACATGAGGGTGAGCTTCTTCACTGTGTGGGGGACCAAGCACTAAAGTAGATTACTCAGAGAGGTTGTGGAAGATATTCAAAAATTGCCCAGATGCAAATCTATGCCATGTGCTCTGGGTTGACCCTGCTTGAGCAGGGAGGTTGAACTGGATGACCCACTGTGGTCACTTCCATCTTTATTAATTCTGTGAATCTGTGATTATGTTTACTGGTTGGCTGGCTTCTGTTTTTTATTGGTTTTGAATTATGAAATTACTCCATTTAAACTATCAATATATGCAATTTCAGTATGATGTCTTCATTTAAATTTTTGTTACTTAGAGACATGTTCCCTAAAAGTCCAATACTGTTATTGGACAGTTGTTTATTAATAACCATCTGATTACTTTTGCTCTCTAAGAGTATTTACCGCTTACATGGAATAAGAATAGTCACAGCTATCTATGGCTTTGGTAGTCAGTATCTATTGACTCTCTCTCTCTCTCTCTCTCTCTCTCTCTCTCTCTCTAAATATGTATTGCCTGTCTTCTGCATCTGGCCTAGTTAGAGCAGCCGGGACCAGTTCATCACTGTGTGGGTGTAACCCAAACTGTGTATTCTGCACCCTCTGTGTCATTTCCCAGAAACTGTTAACAACAGACCATCTGCAGCAGCTGCCCAGAGCACACCTGACCCCTCAGGCTGTAAGCTGGGTGTTGAGAGGCCTGTGAGATAGGAGGATGTTCCTGACCTCACACCCCCAACTCACAATAATCACCCATTGTGGAACTGCCCACCCTGGGGGAGGTGCTGGGCATTCCTGCCTGAGTGTATATAATCTTGGGGTCTTGGGACTTCTGGTACCACTCGTGGGATCCAGAGGACCAGAACCTCCACCAGACTGCGACAACCACTCTCGACTGGACTGCAACCACCGCTCTCAAACAGACTGTGACCATCACTCGCACCAAAAGGTTCTTCCTCTCCCTTTATTTTTGAACTCAGGGGGCCCACGAGGGGCTCAGCATGGGGGCCAACAAACACCATTCTGTTCATGCCCCAGGGTGCCAGGTTATACCTCTGGGGTTTTTTGTGGGTTAAAACCAATTACTCATCTGTATAATTGTATTTATTGTATTATTTTTATTAAATTGTAATTCTGACTTATAATGTCTTTTGAGTTGGGTTAGTTTCTCCTGCCGGTTTGCCTTTAAAGCAGTACAGCATCCAAGGTACATAGTTTCTTAACTCTACTTGGACAAGTCATTGGTTTCTGTATTTGAAGCTGTCTGGAAAGGCTGCTATCAGTGTTCAGCTTCTTTTTCAAACTAACAGTACAGTCTAGGATATTTAAAGTCCCTTGAGACACATATTTTAGAAGTTAGAGGAAAAAAATACAGGATGGAAATAAAACTGATACCAACAACTTATTAATATATTTAATAACGCAAAAACTCTTGGTCTGTCACCAAAGAGGAAAATATATAACACTGTTACTGGCACCTTTTACTCTCTCATTTTTCTTAGAAAGTTGTAATTTCTTCATTAACAAAAGTTACAATGGATTTCAATATTAGGTATCATAAAAAATGAATTAATTAAATGGCTTCTGACTTAAGTTAGGAGTAGTTAATTCCTTGCCTAACTTGTCTTGGAAAGGTGTTGTAAAAGTGTTTAATTGTCTTGTTAACCTTGTGCATTTGGAAGGCACATTAAATAATGCTGTTTAACAAGTACACTTTTATACACTTTTATACATAGTGCATTACATAAAAATTGTATATATGACTTTGGAGAAAATTATTTCAAGAAACATTGCAATTACATCATTACAAAGCAACTGTTTACAAGAATATGATACCATGCATTTTATATCTCCATGATCTACACATGGCCAGTTGTTTGAGTCATTAACATTTCAGTCTCTCACACCTAGGAGAACTAAAAGCTGCTGAAACTGAAAAATAATTACTGGAGAGCAAAGGAAGGAACATTAATAAGTAGGAGAAATCCTGTGATTTTTATTTTTTTCCCAATATTGAATCTCCAAAATTGAGTACCTGTAATTATCTCAAACCATTCAATAAAGATAATTTAAGATTTGCTTTGTAATTAAAACTGTGATATTTTATTAGCTAACCAAATGCTAGCTTTGAATAAACCTAATCTAAAGTTATTAAAGAGAAAAAAAGTAAGCATTTCAGATATTTCCAAGTGTCTGAGGCAAGGGATTGGATTAAAAGCTTTTAAGTAACAAAATTAATGTGAAATTTGTTCATTATCATGATGCAATAAACTGAAAACTAGAAATGTACAGCAAATAATCAGGAGAAAGAGAACAGGAAGAGGACTTCCAGATGCAAAATTCTTTCAAATAAATGTTGATGCTAGTTTTTAAACTTAGTAGTGATACAACATTCACAGAAATGGATATCTCAGTTCAGTAAGAGGCACAAGACCACATGTGGAAACTGTATCCAGGTCTGGATCCCTGTAAAAGGAATATAATGCACTGGAGTGAGTCACAGCAAAGGGCGAGGAAAAGTTTGGCTTTAAGAAAAGAAAGTGTAAGGGTGATTTAATTGCTATCTACATCTACCTT